AAAAGAATAAAAAGAACGTAAATTTTTAACGCTGTCAGCGAGTTAACAAGGGAATTTAAAAGCCCCACAATAAAGGGGACACGGGAACGCGAACGTGACTAGCTGTATATACTATAATCTACGGTTTGAGAAGCACACGAAAAAGTTCGAAACATGCTAAGAAAACAGCCCGTCTTCGATAAATGGGTTCGTCAAATGGTCTATATGTGTCTATATGCTTTTTTACAAAAATATATTTTTGTAAAAAAGCAGTATTTTTACAACCAGGTAACTTGTAAAAAAGCAGCTTTTTTACGTAAAAAAGCTGCTTTTTTACAAAAATATATTTTTGTAAAAAAGCAGTATTTTTACAACCGCTCAATTTGTAAAAAAGCAGCTTTTTTACATAAAAATGACGCTTTCTTACGGTACCGTTTTTTTACACAACATATATATATATAGAGAATACTTCATGGAAAGTGCTGGCGTACGGTATTTACGCACGAGTTGTTGACGTATCAGAAATCGAACGAGTGAGCGCAGCGAACGAGTAAGATTTCTGATACAAAAACAACGAGTGCGTAAATACCGTACAAAGCACTTTCCATGTGGTATTGTGTTTATTATATACATACTGAGTCATTCATCATTTTGCGGGCCTTTTTATTTTAAATCTTTCAAAAATGCTAAAATTTGCCGCTACACACTTACCGCAAAATGACAACGAAAACGAAGTATCAGCTTTTTAGTAAAAACGTTTGTTAAAAACATAAATGACGGTGAGGATATGAGGTAATCCAAGAACTATGAGTAATCTTAACTGTTTGTTCTCAATGCACAATTGAAAATGAGTGAATTTAATTAAAATGACCGGTTTCAATATAAGCTTAAGCTTAAATGAAAGGCAAAGTAGCTCCGACAAAAAGCACAACAAAAGCTTACGTCTCGTTCTGTTTATCCCTTTCCGCTGTTGTTTCGCCGGCTCTCTACCGTATTTTTTTTTCGACAGTGAAACAAACGAAACTATTCCACTCCATTTCCGAAATGTTTTTCACTTTTTTAGCGAGAAAAACTCCTTGAGTAAAACTTTTCTCGTTGAATGTGTGCGAAGCGGCGCTGCAAGCTGCAATAAAAGGCGGGAATTTTGGCGCGAAACTCGCACACCTCTGTGGCTTCTGATTGGACGTATCATTTTTCTCACACGTGAAAAAACATCGTTCGCGATTCTGATTGGACGTATCGTTTTTTTCACGTGTGAAAACCATCGTTCGCTACTCTGATTGGCTAGAACTAATTTGCGTACGAAAATTTACGACATAGCTTTTTGGTGAGTATTTCTCAGTATGTATATAATAAATAATAAATATATATATGTTGGACAGCTTTTCTACAAAAATATATTTTGTAAAAAAACGGTCATACTCTAAATGTTGTTGGTGAATTCAGCTAGTGTTTATATTAAAGTTGTTTAGCCTTTACAAGTGTTTTCTGGCTTTTTTCTCTATCTCTAAAATAAAACACTCACTGGCGTACGTTACAGACCGCCTTTATAGTCCCTAATTGTTATAAACAAATCGGCTGCTGTTTTTATGGCCTTACAAGCTGCTCTGTGTATTGCAAAAATTAGACTAACAAGCGAGTGTATGTACGCTTGTAGCTATAGGCTAGCGTTTCCTTTTGCTTGATTAGCCGACTGAACATGTTCCTACATCATGTTGAAAGCTTAAAGTTGTAACGCAGACATGATACTCTTGCATGCATCAACATGGATTTCAACATAGCATGAATCCCGTAATAGAAGTTTAGCGCATCATACATAATACAGGAAATTGCCTAACAATTGCTGTAGTTGATTCTTGCTGAAGATTTTATACTAGAAATGGAGTTATAATTTATTTGTCCACTGCTAAGAGCATCAAAGCATTATAGCCAAGTATTTTGTTGACAGTTAAACCGATTATTGCAGCTGATAACCTTGGGAGAATAGATAAATAATACAGAATAATATTCTGTACAGTTTTTGGCTTGAACAAAAGTAGCAATGAGGGAGAGAATAGAAGGCTTTGGTTGCTTCAAGAGATTGTGACAGGCATTGCTTATAAATAAGACAGTGAATAACCCAGCTATTCTATTATTGCCTAACATGCAGTTACTGCCGTGCGTGACCTCAGCCGATAAGCATAACAAATGAAATTACTGCCTGTTCCTTCTTCGCATCCAACAATTAGAAGGTCTTGGAAAATTGAATGACAAAGGAAACAAGAAGAAAGAATAAAAAGAACGTAAATTTTTAACGCTGTCAGCGAGTTAACAAGGAAATTTAAAGGGGACACGGGAACGTGAACGTGACTAGCCGGATATCTTAAAATGTACGGTTTGCGAAGCGCACGAAAACTACAGTTCAATAAATTTCGAACCATGCTATAAATGAGTTTGTCAAATGGTCTATACGTGTAAAATAGCACGATTTTTACATAAAAAGGCGGCTTTCTTACAAAAATATCTTTTGTAACAAAACAGATTTTTTACATAAAAAAGCAGCTTTTTTACAAAAATATATTTTGTAAAAAAGCAGCTTTTTTACATAAAAAAAGCTGCTTTTTTACAAAAATATATTTTTGTAAAAAAGCAGTATTTTTACAACCAAGTCACTTGTAAAAAAGCTGCTTTTTTACAAAAATATATTTTGTAAAAAAGCAGTATTTTTACAAGCGGCTAATTTGAAAAAAAGCAGCTTTTTTACATAAAAAAGCTGCTTTTTTACAAAAATATATTTTTGTAAAAAAGCAGTATTTTTACAACCAGGTAACTTGTAAAAAAGCAGTATTTTTACAACCGCTCAATTTGAAAAAAAGCAGCTTTTTTACATAAAAAAGCTGCTTTTTTACAAAAATATATTTTTGTAAAAAAGCAGTATTTTTACAACCAGGTAACTTGTAAAAAAGCAGTATTTTTACAACCGCTCAATTTGTAAAAAAAGCAGCTTTTTTACATAAAAATGACGCGTTTTTACGTTGTGTAAAAAAACGGTACCGTAAGAAAGCTGTTTTTTTACACTGATATATATTTGTAAAAGGACAGCTTTTTTACAAAAATATATTTTGTAAAAAAACGGTCCTACACTAAATGTTGCTGGCGAATTCAGCTAGTGTTCATATTAAACTTGTTTAGCCTTTACAAGTGTTTTCTGGCTTATTTCTCGATCTCTAAAATAAAACACGCATTGCCGTACGTTACAGACGTCTTTATAGTCCCTAATTCTTATAAACGAATCGGCTGCTGTTTCTATGGCCTTACAAGTTGCTCTGTATCTTGCAAAAATTAGACTAACAAGCGAGTGTTTGTACGCTTGTAGCTATAGGCTAGCCTTTCCCTTTGCTTGATTAGCCGACTGAACATGTTCCTACATCATGTTGAAAGCTTAAAGTTGTAACGCAGACATGACACTCTTGCATGCATCAACATGGATTTCAACATAGCATGAATCCCGTGATAGAAGTCTAGCGCAACATACATAATACAGGAAATTGCCTAACAGTTGCTGTCGTTGATTCTTGCTGACGATTTTATGCTGGAAATGGAGTTATAATTTATTTGTCCACTGCTAAGACCACCAAAGCATTATAGCCAAGTATTTTGTTGACAGTTAAACCGATTATTGCAGCTGATAACCTTGGGAAAATAGATAAATAATACAGAACAATATTCTGTACAGTTTTCGGCTTAAACGAAAGTAGCAATAAAGGAGAGAATAGAAGGCTTTGGTTGCTGCAAGAGATTGTGACAGGCATTGGTTATAAATAAGACAGTGAACAACCCACCTATTCTGTTATTGCCTAACATGCAGTTACTGCCGTGCGTGACCTCGGCCGATAAGCATAACAAATGAAATTACTGCCTGTTCCTTCTTCGCATCCAACAATTAGAAGGTCCTGGAAAATTGAATGACAAAGGAAACAAGAAGAAATAATAAAAAGAATAAAAAGAACGTAAATTTTTAACGCTGTCAGCGAGTTAACAAGGGAATTTAAAAGCCCCACAATAAAGAGGACACGGGAACGTGAACGTGACTAGCCGTATACATTATAATCTACGGTTTGAGAAGCGCACGAAAAAGTTCGAACCATGCTATAGAAAACAGCCTGTCTTCGATAAATGGGTTTGTCAAATGGTCTATATGTGTAAAATAGCATGATTTTTACATAAAAAGGCGGCTTTCTTACAAAAATATCTTTTGTAAAAAAACAGATTTTTTACATAAAAAAGCAGCTTTTTTACAAAAATATATTTTGTAAAAAAGCTGCTTTTTTACAAAAATATATTTTTGTAAAAAAGCAGTATTTTTACAACCGTTTAATTTGTAAAAAAGCAGCTTTTTTACATAAGAAAGCTGCTTTTTTACAAAAATATATTCTTGTAAAAAAGCAGTATTTTTACAACCATGTAACTTGTAAAAAAGCAGCTTTTTTACATAAAAAAGCAGTATTTTTACAACCGCTTAATTTGTAAAAAAGCAGCTTTTTTACAAAAATATATTTTTGTAAAAAAGCAGTATTTTTACAACCGCTCAATTTGTAAAAAAGCAGCTTTTTTACATAAAAATGAGGCTTTTTTACAAGGACCGTTTTTTATGCAACATATATATATATACCAGGTGCCCACTCTTCATTTAAACTCCATTATAACACTGAAGCGTCAGGGTCTACATCAAGAAAAGTGATCGCGTGATAAAAACGGTTACATATAACGTTTGAAATTTAAATTTTTAAGAAATTTTAAAATGAAAAGCGCGCGCTTGCTCTCAATACGAAACCTAAGTCACGCGAAACCTCGCGCTACAATCTCTGGCTTTCACATGTTCGATTGTACCTTAGAATGAACTTGCGGCGATGTCTGCATGTAGAGACAAGTTCGTTGCGCTTGTTCAGTGTTGCCATGTGAGGCCTACAGATTAAAAGCAACTTCTCTGTTGTACATAGATTGCAACGCTTTGTGAGGTTGGTGTAAGATTTTGCGTTGGCGAGTATTTTCCACGTGATATTGAATTCCTTATTTGCCTCCTTTAGCTGCCACAGGTGCTTGCTCAGCTCAGTCTCATTCCTTCTCTTTTCATGTCTAAATGACATCAGGTGGTTTCTGTATCTTGCCTTGAACTGAGTTGCTGTGAGACTGACGTATGTCTCTTTTTCGTCTCCGGTTGTGACAGTGGCTTGGTACACGACTTCACTCACCAGGCATTCTCCGTTTAGCGGGCAGTCTTCTTTTTTCCTACAGCTACACGTGTTCCCTTCGCTTTTCTGTGGCTGCACTGTTTCTGCTGTCTTCAGGATGGCTTTGTTGTGGCCATCTATTATTTGCTTGACGTTGGGCATGCAGCTGTAGCTGAGCTTTATGTTGTTCCTGTTGAAAATTGTCCTCTGTTTGTGGCCCGCTGGGAAAGATCTTTCAATGAGGCTGACGAACGCACGTGCGATGTTGGTTTTGACGCTTTTGTTGTATGGTGGATTAAACCAAATAACATTTCTTTGTAGTTTGCGTTTCTGTGATGGTGGTTGCTGTGGTGGTGGCTTGAATTCTAGTTTAAAAGCATAGCCACTATTTCGTAATGCTTCCTGATACGGAGCCGATGCTTCATTGAAAACCTCGTGGTCGGAAGAAACGCTGGATAGCCGCCGGTTAATTGCTACGGGTATGTTTCTGAGGATGTTGGGTGGGTGGTTCGATTGGCTGTGAACGTAAAGCGGGGTGGTGGATGGCTTGGAGTATGGTTTGAATTTTCCGGTGATTAAATCCAGTCTTACATCTAGGAAGTTAACAACTTTCTTGTTTGCATCAACTGTGATTTTCAGGTTGTTGTTCGCAAATATCTGGCATATTTGTTTTTTTGCTTTCTCTATCTGCCTTGGTGTTGGATTGAGTACGGCGAGCCCGTCTCTCTGTAAAGGCCGATTTCGATGCCAGGGATCTGCTTTAGCTGCGACAGGAGATAACAGCCCACCAGTTCACAAGTCTCCGCTCCGTCGTAGCTTCCCATGGTTACGTCAAAATTTGATGTTGAATTTCTCTTTTCCCATGGTTGGCCTTTGCTGAATAGCAGGGAGTGCTTGGAATTGATGACTGCTTGTCGTTCGTTGGCTGAGATGTTCACGTGTTCAGAGGCGAAGTCAAGGGCGCGTTTTAGGAGGGCTTCGGTAATTGAGGGGTAAAATTCTACGACGTCAAAGCATATAAATGCCGAGTCGCCTTTATTAGCCAGCTGCTTGAACCATTGAAGCACAGAGGATGTGTTCTTCCACTGGTTGACTTTTGTGATGTCGACGAGTTTCCGATTTATTTCTTCCAGGATTTGTTTGCTTATACGCCCTATCTCCGGTTTTGAAGGATTAATCAGTCTACAAGTAGGCTTGTTTTCAAAATTTTCTTTGTGGTCCTTTAGCGTTATAAACGCTTCTTTCATTGCAATGAATGAACGCTAATCAATTGAGTCGAGCGCTCTACGAAATACGTTCTATTCAAAAAACGAATATATATATATATATATATATATATATATATATATATATATAGAGAGAGAGAGAGAGAGAGAGAGAGGGAGAGAGAATACTTCATGGAAAGTGCTGGCGTACGGTATTTACGCACGAGTTGTTGACGTATCAGAAATCGAACGAGTGAGCGCGGCGAACGAGTAAGAATTCTGATACAAAAACAACGAGTGCGTAAATACCATACAAAGCACTTTCCATGCGGTATTGTGTTTATTATACACATACTGAGACATTCATCATTTTGGCGGCCTTTTTATTTTAAATCTTTCAAAAATGCTAAAATTTGTCGCTACACACTTACCGCAAAATCACAACGAAAACGAAGTATCAGCTTTTTAGTAAAAACGTTTGTTAAAAACATAAATGACGGTGAGGATATGAGGTAATCCAAGAACTATAGGTAATCTCAACTGTTCGTTCGCAATGCACAATTGAAAATGAGTGAATTTAAGTAAAATGGCCGGTTTCAATGTAAGCTTAAGCTTAAATGAAAGGCAAAGTAGCTCAGACGAAAAGCACAAGAAAAGCTTACGTCTCGTTCTGTTTATCCCTTTCCGCTGTTGTTTCGCCGGCTCTATACCGTTTTCTTTATCGACAGTGAAACAAACGAAACTATTCCACTCCATTTCCGAAATGCTTTTCACTTTTTTAGCGAGAAAAATTCTTTGATTAAAACTTTTCTCGTTGAATGTGTGTGAAGCGGCGCTGCAAGCTGCAATAAAAGGCGGGAATTTTGGCGCGAAACTCACTCACCTCTGTGGCTTCTGATTGGACGTATCATTTTTTTCACGTGTGAAAACCATCGTTCGCTCCTCTGATTGGCTAGAACTAATTTGCGTACGAAAATTTACGACATAGCTTTTTGGTGAGTATTTCTCAGTATGTATATAATATATATATATATATATATTTGTTATTTGAGTAGAAAGTATTTGGTAGAGCGCTGGATTCAATTGATTGAGGAGCATCAGCTATAACTTCACAGAAGTTCAGGTTTCACGAGTAATCATCGTTTTATTGCTACAGAACTGTTTCGTATGGTGCAAGGACCACACTCATCAGGCAATTTTGACGACTGAACTGTTGGAATTTGAAGGCTGGCAGTTAAATACGAAAATTTAAATGGTTGCTATGGTAGATGCGTTACAATCAGGTTATATGAAACTGTTGAAAGGGTTGCTAGGTAATGAAAACACTATATAAAAGGGATTATCTGTCGTTATAAAAAATGTGATATAAGCGGGTTTGAAGCTACGTTACTCTAAAGTTTCCAAGTACATATCGGTTTCTGTGGGGGCATGAACTGGCTAATTCGTTTCTTCTGTTGAGGCTACACAGTTCTTTTTTACAGATGATTATGAACTTTTCATTCAGGCAAAGACTACATTTTTTGGTGATGTTGCTGTAGGGTTTACATTTCTTAAGAATTTTCCATTTAATCTGAAAACGTTTCTTTTCGTTTTGGTAAGTTCCAAACATATTTGGAGAGTTCTGTTTCATTTCTTCTTTTCGAGTGTCCAAAGGATGTTTTGTGATAGTCCAACGTAGGTTTCAGTTGCTGTCTCAGTAATAACTCTGGCTTGATAGATGACGTTAGTTTGAAGGCATTTTCCTTCTAATGGGCAATCAGACTTTTTTCTACAATTGCAGGTTTCGGGTTGCGGTGTTGGGGCATTTGCATTGATGTGTGACGATATGATGGATTTCATATTTGGCGTACGTACATGAGTAGCTTAGCTTGAGAGTGTGTCTGTTGAAAATCTTGTAGAGTGGATGTTTTTTTCTGGAAGCATTTATCGACGATGCGGATGAACTTTCTACCAAGGTTGGTTTTAACATTCGAATCGAAAGGAGGATTGTACCATGCGATGTCCTTTTTCTCTTTCTTTTGGTTCTCGGAGTGGGCTCAGGGTTGTATGTTAGTTTGTGATTATATCCACTTTCTTTAAGTGCTTGCTGGTAAGGAGCAATTGATTCGTCAAAAACTTCTTTGCTGGATGAGATGTTAGTTAGCCTTTTGTTGATGTTGAGTGGTATGCTTTTTAGTAATGCCCGGGGGTGGTTGCTCTGTTGGTGGACGCACGAGAGTTTGTTGTTGGGTTTCATGTATGGCTTGTAACTTCCGTCTGTAAGGTCGAAGGTTACATCAAGAAAGTGAACGATTTTTTTGTTGGCATCGATTGTAATCTTTAGGCCCTTTGATTTAAATACATTGCAGACTTCTTTCTTGGTTTTTTCAATTTCTTTCGGAGTGGCTTTGCAAACCTAAGAACGCCTAAGTATAACATCAAATGGCGCATACAGAAAATGAAACTCATCTGAAAAGTTTATCGATGAGATGCCAAAGCGTCGCTTATCGCTTTAAATCCCTCTTGCGTGACACTAGGCTAACACGACCCTCCTACTTAGCAGCACTGTTTTCCAAATAAAACGCACCCGGAATTAGAGAGATGAAAAGGTCAAATGTTTCACCGTTCAACTTCTTGTATATTTTTAAAAAATGGTGACAAACAAAAGCGGGTACAACGCTGTAAATAGCTTTAAAAGCGATAAGATGTAATTTGTAATAGAATTAAATATGGTCGATCTAAGCTGATCTTGCTTGCTTGAATCCATGAAAACAAAAACAGTGTGCAGAACGCATTGTTAACATGATAGCTACATATCCGATTATCTTAGAATGGAGTTTTTCCTATATAAAAAAAAAACTTACTTGAAAACTGCGAGAAAAACGAGAAACAAACCTGTAGTAAACAGAAATTCGCAAATGTTTTATCTGTGAACGGGTGTCAGAAAATAGATACCAGTTTCCGGGTGAGAAAAACTGAACACATAAAGAGTGGCATGAAGAAAGGTTACTACTTCATGTACGGTACATGAATAGTGACCATTTCCTTTCGTCTAACGCAATAAGGGAGTACCCTACCACCCCCCTTCCTAGGACTTTGAGTTTCCATGTTGCCGCATAATTATAAGTCTAGAAGTCAGTAGCCGGAGCGCATTAAAGGCTCTATTGCTCGGATTTGTCCATTCTCTTTTACGTTAAATCAAGCTGATAGCTTCTAGAAGCAGTTTTGATATTATCTCAGACAGCTTGGTTAGTCAGGGAAGCGATCGAGCGACAAGAAAAGCGAGCACAAATAGACCTTTTCTTGGTTTTTTCAACCTTTTATATGGACCAGTTCGGGGAAATCCGTCGACACGACTGAAAAGAGCGCCTTAAAATTACCAAAATGGCCAAATTTGTAAGTGATACGTCTTTAGCGAGCGAAGATATAACTCCACAAAGTTGCGAAAATTTATAGACTTTTGTATGATATGGGGGGGGGGGGGGGCAAGTTTGTGCTCCCTACATACAAGCGTCTGTAAAATTTCGCGACTTTGAGAAGCCGTATCGTCAGTTAGTTTTCAACAAATCACTTTCAAATCTGGCAGTTTTACTAATTTTAAGGCGCTCTTTTCAGTGGTGACGACGGATTTTCCCGAACTTGTCCATGTCAAAAGTTGAAAAAAACCGTGAAAAGGTCTGTTACAAAAAGGTTACTTGAATGCTTGAAGGATTGAAGGAACTGTAGCTTTTAATTTACCCAAGATAACTTGGCTACGATAGATTTTAAGTTTCTTTTAATTATGTGCCAACAATTTTCTGGTGTTGAACATCTCCCTACGTTTTCATAAGACAGAATAAAGTAAGACCTTTTTCGCAAACTGCATTTCAACGTCTTTAACAGTAGCTCAATAACTGTAAGTTCTAATAAATCTTACAAGCCGCAAATAGAAAATACAGTACAACTCGGTAAAACTGGCGTAAGCTTACTTACGCATAT